CGTGAGCACATCAAACCCTCATACAGATGAAGACCCAGGCCAGGGACTGTTTTGCTAAATAAATATATTGTGCTTGAAAGAGATCCTTATTCACTGGCTGCATGTTTTAATCAAAAAAACCCACATCTTTTTGAGTAAAATCATGGCTTTTTTTAGAAGCAAAGTACTTTTTGCTCTGAAAGTATGCTTAAAGATTGCTTATTGTAGCCTACAGAAGGTCTATAGGTCCAAGAAGTTGCTGTCTGGCTAAGGCTTTGTCAATCAACAGGGTGGATGTCAGGTATTTTTCTAGAAGCTACCTGTCCCCACTGGCAATATTTGCCAATTTCTATTGCAAACGGAGTTGTGTCATGGTCATGAGATATTGCAGCTCCCCATATAATAAATCCTTTAGTTTAGATTTTTTTCCTACACTCCTGAAGCCCACACATCCCTCTAACAGCATCCCTCCCACACAGCCATGACAATGTCTTTAATTTCCTTTTCATGACCACAGTATAACCAAGCAGAGCCTTCTGCCAGGCCCTTCCCCTGAGTTCCCCTTTTCTACACAGGTGAGCCACTGTAAAGTCCTGCTGCTGCCAGCCGATGTCCTGGAACACTGCCCTGCTGCAGGAGGGGAATTCCTGCTTGGTCTTCTGAAGCACAGGCATTAAGAAGAGCCAGGGTGTGGAATGAGGTAGATTTCCATGGAGCTGTGGTTGTGACTGAACGGTAGAGACACAGCCAGGAGAAGGGACAGAAATGCAAGCATTGATCTGGCTTTCAAGGATGTAGGTAGCAACAGCTACTGAGGTCTAGCTCTGTTTCATGAGAGCATCAGCACTAAGCTCTGATTAGAGAGATCCTGTTGTCCTTTTGTCCCATGATCCTGGTCCTGCCCAGCTGTGGGGTAGCCCCATAGAAAGGAGCAACAACACAAGCAGTTCTGCTGGCACTCAGCCAAGTGCTTAATACAGCATTCATTGTTTCACTCAGGCCCAAAAGAGCCTTAATGAACAATTTTTATTTTTTTTTTGGGGGGGGGTGTGTCAGGGGTGGGTTCGGTTTCTTGGTTTGGGTTGGGTTTTTTAAGGGAGAATTATTTGACTTAATAGGTAAAAAACAAGTACCTTACACTTTGTGGAGGAACTAAAGGACTGAGAATCCCAATTTTGAGTTTCTTCCTCTAGTGTTTGACCTCAGGGGCCTGAAAAGCCAATGCAGTGCTCTCATACTCTATAGATTATGTTCAAACTGCCACCCTTGTAAAGCTATATGCTTCCTCCTGCTCTCATCAGCTGGAGCTAATGTAATTTCCACTTTTCTCACTGTTTCAGAGATTTTTCCAGAAGCAGCCTAGGGCAGCAAACAAGTCTTCCTTCTCATCAGGTGGAAAGGGAATTCCCCCTTGCAAGTCTTTTCACAATCCAGATGTTAAATCCTGGCCTCAATTTTGAGACATGTAAGACAATATATAAGCTGCAGTGAAACTTGCTGCTGCAGTGCATTGAGACAGGGATGAAATATCATTGGTGATGGATTTGCCAACAGTGTACTAAAAACTGGGAGGAATGTTGCAGGATTTAATACGTGGAGGACGTTTGATATTTCAAAGTTGTTAATGTTTGCACTTTTTAAAAATTATTATGCTTGATGTGTGCAACAGCTAAATCTTTCTTGTTGATAATCAGAGCTGATTTATCTCTTTTTAAAAATTGATCTCAAGCCATACAAGATCTTATTACTTCCAAGAGGAATTAAATAGCTCAGACATACTCATTTAGATGGAGTTCACCCCCTGACCTCTTATTCATATCTCCAGTTCATACCTGTCTACTTCATTTTGCCAGAAAAGCTGTTTAATCCTTTCTATTCCTCCCTCTTCTCCAAGCTACCCTACTCACTGAATTGAACTCCTAATCACAGAACATAAATACAAACTTTCATCTCTCAAGGAAATAGGAGGTTTTTATCTCAGTGGGTAGACTGCTATAACCATGATGGACTGGACAACTTAAGGCTATATGGAATGCCTCATTGCAGCTAAAGTCAAACAAAGGCAGAGACTTAGATCCAGCTCCCCAGTAAATCTTGTATGGGCAGAAGTCCCTACTGACCACATGGATTTATTTTTAACAAAATATTTTCATATACCTGTTTTTTTGTTTTGGGGTTTTTGCTGTATTTTTCTGCATGGCAACTTATAGATTCAAATGTATAGGAAACTTCCCACATTATTAAGCACTTTATGAGTTATGTTGTGTGATACCTTCAGTACCAATCCTCATTTTGATTCATTTGTTTGCTTTACTCAAGTTTGGGAGCCTCTTTTCCCCAGCCTTAAATAAACTTATTAAAGCCTGTAAGAAATATGATAGAATTTAAAACTGTTTGAACTTTGAAGTCAATGAAATACCTGTACTAAGGGAAATTGGTCCTCTTAGTGTCATTTCATTCCATATCCCATATATTAGATATGAAGCTACAGTCTTAAAGCTAATCATTAAACTCCAAGAGCATTCATACTTGGCTTAATAATTCAGTTTGGGAAGATAAATTTGCAAAATACATATCAAGGTTTGCATTTCAAACCATCTCAAGATATACAGGTACTCAAATTATGATATATTTTTCATTTATCCTTCTTCCAGAAACAGTCTTTTCCCAAAGCTGTGAATTTCCAAGATAGGTTTTACTTTTTGAAATTATGACCTGTTATAATATCAGGCTTTTTGTTTAGTCTTACTGACTGTTATTTTTTATTTTCTTTTCTTTTAATCCTTTCTTGTCACACAGTCTATAAACTTTGTTCATGGTGTTTTTATATAGTTTTTTCTTTTTCTTCTCGGTCTGTCATCCTTTATCTTCTTCCAGCTCCTTTTGATTTGGAGGTATTGGAAAATGGCAGAAAGAAATTTTAAAATGTCCCAAAATAATCTGGGACATTATAAGCATACTGCATAAGGGATTAAAGGAAAGGAAGAAGATATGAGACAATATGAAAAAATACTTTCTCATTAAAATATTAGGAAATAAACACATGCAAGCAATGTCATTACCTCACTGCCTAGAAACAGGTCCAGTTTTTTTTTGTTTTCAGTTTTTAAATATTTTTTTTCTTATGTCTTTTTCCAGTTATCCACTAAAATAGTATACAGGGATAAATTGCCCTGCACTCTCTCCCTATTGGGCTGTGGATTTTACTGAGATTAATTCTTTCACATGACATGCATGCATGAGGGTTCTTATGGACACATATGACATAATTTTAGAAAATGCTTTATTAAGAATAAAAATATCTTTTTCCAATAAGAAAGGAGTAATGGAACCTGAGACTTCCACAAGCTTTGTTATAATGAATATAAATAATTTATCTCTCCAGTGCAGGATGTATGTATTTTGAACTGCTTTGTTCAGACTTCCATCATTTGTTGTTTATCCACCTGCATCCCAAGGCAAACCTCAAGTTTTTCCTTCTTTCAGAAACTCTTTGCTTCTTGAATTTCCTTCTCAGTCTGGTGAAAGGTTCCAGAGGATAAAACTCTCCACTCTTACATAGGATCTTGCATCCAGTTCTTCTCATGGGTAGTAGGTGTTAGCTATTTTCACTAATAATTTTCAAACACAGTAATGTCATCAGGTTTTTCTTTTGTTGTTGTTGTTGTTGGTTTTGGTTTTTTTAATCATGAAATCAATGTATTTATGGATGTACAGAGGTCAGCTTAGGTTGCTGGGGAGGTCAAGTAATTTGTCAAAGAATGGTGGGAGAAATTATAATGTGGCCCAATACACCAGGGTTCCCCTCTCCATCCCTGCATAGGAGCTAGTTACAACCCCCCTGAGCAGGGCTGTGTAATTGGCAGTCCCTTCCTCATTTGATGCTTTACTCATTTTCAATGTCACAGTTAGCAGTTTGCACCTGCTCTCTACAATACTTCTGTGTATCCAGGTGTTTGTTGAGGAAAACCCTGTTCTTGATGTACCAGCTTATTTCCTCCTTGTCCCCATTTGCCCTATCAAATTTGAAAACAACCTTCTGTATGCCAGACAAGCAGGCTGTGGATCTCTCTCAAAAGCATCCTCTGACCAATATTTGGGGTTTTCTAATGTATCACAGAGATGTTCAGAATCAATGTACCACTCTGGTTCCAGCAGCCCAAAGGTGTCTGGCAAGATACACAGGCTGGATTCACAGCTGGCCATTTATGGTCAGAGTTTGGATGAATTTCACATGGAGCATGAAGGATTGATAATTTCATTCATACTGAAAACTCTGAGCCATTTGAGGCATGTCAAGTAACCCCTGAACCCTCTGGGGAAGTTGTAAAGGTTTCATGCCACATGGCAAGAGGAAGATAATTGCAATGCAGAGCCCATGAATATACTGGCCATAGGGACTGTGTTGTGTTTGTGCTGCAAGACATGAAGAGGAGAGATTGGGCCTCCTAGTTTAGAGACTGATCTTGTAGGTTTGAACTGACCTAAGGAGCAATTGCACCCTTACTATATATCCATCTTGTAATATATTCCTCTGTTAATAACAGCATTCTGGATTTAGTTAAATAAGAGGAGCCCCAAGGTGTGAATGGCAAAGATGTATTGACAGCACAAATATAAAAAATACAAATGCACATAACTGAGGCAGAGTGTCAGAGAAGTCTCTGCTGTACTGTCTCAGGTTTTATTCCCCTGCTAAACTAACCCTAAGAGGGCATGTGCAATACATGGCAGTATGGCTGTACCACAAGGGTTGGCTTTAGAGGTAGTCTTTTTTTTTGTCTCCAGTGGAAAGTTAATCATAAAAGAGACTAGAAAATAAAAGTTATTTCTGTAGCAGCACTACAGGAATCTTACATTTTCTTCAATTAAAAGCTGACATCTTTAACTTGTTATCATTTCATGTCCGTGAATCAGTGGATCAGGCAGGGTGCCAGTTCACAAACAAGGCTAGAGCAAAACACAGCTCAGAACAGTACTACAGTGGGTGTCACATGATTGAGCACACGACCATCATGAGAGCTCAGGGAAGCTGGGAAAGGTGGGGAAATGCTGATTTCCCATTGTCCAAGTTCAAGTAGCTGCAAAACTCTTCCCAAAATTTCCATGCCACAGGCAATTTATACCTAGAATAGAAATGGAGAATCAGTTATGTGCAGCACTCAAATGTCTGAATAAGTCCTAATTCTGATTCTGTTCTGTATCCAAAACTGCTTGTGTAGTAGCTTCTGTAGGGCTTACGTAGTTAGGAAGGTCTTCATTCTCTGCAGAATATTTACCCTTAGCCAGTAACACTCATAAATCTAGAAAATCACTTCCCTGCAGAGATTTTCAGTACCATGCATCATCCCAAGAATCTGAACCGAACTGTTTCACTTCTCTTCCTCATGCATGAGATCACCGCTTAGCACAGACATGAAGCAATGGCATTTCTAGGAGCTAGCTCGCTGTTACGATTCAAAAGGTTTCCAGAGATTTGCTTTCAGTTTTGTCCTCCTTAAAGGTGGCAGCATGAACTCCATTAACAAGCTATTGTAAGAATCCCACCCTGTCACCCAGCCACCCACCAAAAATCAATGGCAGACACAGCAAGCTGTTCTTCCCCCACTAGAGAAAGCCTTGCAACAGACACAAGCAGAGGTACAGCTGGGCTTAACACTACCTCAGATTCTTGGTTTTTTAGCTGCGTTCACTGCTGCCATGGGCATGTATTCACTGTTGTACTCATGGGAGTTGGATTCACACTTCTGATTCTGCCAACAGAGAGAAAATGCCATGAATTTAATTTGCAATTGCTTACCTTTGCCACTCTTGCCTTTGTTCATTAAGTAGGGCAGTTACTCTGTTTTCAGTGGGAATGTTTAGGTCAGAATGGACATGTCAAACTCACATAGAAAACTTGGAATAAAACAAACTGAAAACTAAAAACAAACATTGCCCAAAAGAATAGCTAATGTCCTTGGTTTTTCTTCTTTCCTGAGTCAAATCTGAGTGGTTTTGCAGCAGAACAGTGCTGGAATTGCTCCACTGATGATTGTTTCCCCTTCTTAAAGAAAACAGTCAGGTGTACTGTTTATCAAAGTAATTTTGCTGACCTGTGCAGCATTTCTCCTCTTTCCTTTGGTTCCAAGCCTTTAAATCAATAAACAATTCTGTCTTAGAAAAATTAAATCTGAGCTATTGTCATCAATTACTTGAATTCCAGTGGTAAATTAACAACTCGGTCTTTTTGTCGAAAAACACAGCACTGCTGAGTATGTGCCTGTCCCACTGTCTAAATCTCATTAAATCAAGTTCCCCATCCATGACCTTCAGAAGAAGGGTTCTGCATTATCTCATATGTTTGCTTACCTTGTTCCTTAAGCAACAGGCCACAACGCAGCAGACACAGGAAATGGCAAAAATGATCACACCGATAATAATCCATAACATGAGTCCAAGTGAAAAGCAGTCCTCCTTATCTGAAAATGGGAGGGGGGGAAAAAAGTCATTATTGATAATTTTAATTTTTGCCTTCTACAGATGACTTCAATTCTTTTCCCTCTTCATATTAATAGGTTAGTAAAAGTGAACTTTGAAGAAGAATTTTGCTGAGGTCAATTGCCTCCTTGGAAAAGTGTATTCAGTAGAAAGCAGAAATTACATCTTTTCAGAAAGAAAGGGGAAACTCTTGGTATACAGTTCTGACAGCATAGACTGAAAAGAAACCAAGCCAGGTTTGAGAGTACACTGAGAAAGAAAAGAAAAAAACAGAAAAATCCCAACCTCCAACACAGTGTTTCAGATCTGAACAAGGTTTAAGCTTATATGCAGTAAGTACCACAGGTGATTTTTAAGGGCAGCCTGGTCAAAAGGAGGGTAGACTTTGTCAGTGGTGTTTGGATAGGGAGGCAAGCTGAGGTACTCAAGATTGCCCTTGCCCAGAGAAAATATAGGGTGTGAGACATTTAGAAAAAGCTCTGAGCATCTGCCTATCCATACAAATGGAAATGGACACTGCAGACAAAACCAAATGTCACAACTTGATTCTGAGAAGCTTTTGAAATACAGAGAGGATTGAGAGACAACTTGACTAAAGCATGTAATTGCTGTAGCATTTCATCTTCTATGTTTGCTTATTCCTGGTGTTGGCAGAGAGGAAAAGAAAGGAAAGGAAGGACAACAGACAGTACCATGCTGCAACTGAACTGTATGCAGAACCAAGAATTGGTGTGAGCAAAACCACCATTAACTCCTTCAGTTTAGTATAATAAAGAGCCACTGAATGAAAGCCAGGTCACAATTAAAACCTGGGCAGTTAATCTTTCTGGAGTTAGTCCAAGCTCTTCTCAGTAAACAGCCAAAAATTCTCAACAGCTGTGGATCTCTTTTCCTCTAAGAAGGCCCTAAAGCTGAAGGTCTGCTTCACAGAGGTGAAGGTCTTCTTCACACCTCAAGGGATCCAAGAGTTCCATATACTGCTCTTAGTATGGATATTTTACAATCAATTTCCTTTAGTCCTAGGCTTTTGAAGATAGTTCTCAGAATTGATTTTTTTCCACTGGCTAGACCTAATCTTAACATTTATACTCAGCAGCTTTAAAATGGACAAGAGAAATTGCTGTTGCAGGCAGGCAAAGGAGAGACTTCACTATTCTAGAAGCTGTAGTCAAGCTAACTTGGGTGCCACCACCACTCCACATGGTTTTGCATGGCCTGCAAAACCTGCACAAGAGGATGAAGAAATATGGAGAGGATGTGCTGAGCAGTGTGCCAACACAGCTCCACTGTTACCAGCCCCCCCTGCTAAGTAGTTTTTAGCTGCCTGGTAATTATCTGTGTGAACTCTAGTCACATTCGTCACTGCAGCATAGTTATACCCAGTGTCTACTTATCAGTAAACTGAAGTGGGGGGAGAAGAGAACTAAACTTACCTTGGATGTACAAATAGGTTTCTTTCAGAGAGCATTCTATGTAAGGAGGGGGTAAGAATATCTCCAGGCAGTATGTATAAACGTCAATATGTTTTTTTTCCAGATTTTTAAGAATGAAAGTGGTGCTGCTACTTGAATTCTGTGTCTGACAGTAGGTGACATTACTCTTGGAGATAACTCTCTCTTTGTTCAGATGGAGTGCACATATTTCCTTCTTTTCATGCCCTTTGAAGAGGGTCATGCTGAATTCACTCACATTTTTGGGGTTGGGGAATGTGAAATGGAAGTTTCCATTTTCAAATTCCACCATCACCTCGCCATCAGAGACATGGGCCTGATCTGAAGACATGAAAACAATAGGCATAGTCACACATATAGCAGTGAAAATAATCCTTAAAGTGTTAAAAAACTCATTTAAACAAAACAAATGAACCATGTGATTTTAATTTAAGGCATGTAGGTATTAAGAATGGCCTAGCTGTGAAAAGCAGCCCTCACAATGAGTTACCACTGCATTATTCTGATTGTGCCAGACATTACTGATAAAATAAATCAGACCTGGCCTGTTATCTGCTCTAAGGCTGGAGAGATTACTGTTGGCATTAGATCAGTGACTTTGATAATACTACTCATTACTAAAGCTACTAAACAGTGAAGTTACTAATATTACTTTAAAAATCAGTTACTAGATATTGTTGAATGGCCCCCTGGATCAAAAACTGTATAGACATATAATCCCTGCCTCAGTGTCAGATTGTCCTATTCATAGATAAAACATGTGGGGAAAAGATGGTAATGATAATAATGATCTCTGGTTTATGGTTTGTAATCTGTACCCTATTGAACATGCAATTATAAAATCATTTAGATAAGAAAAGACCCTTAAGATCATGAAGTCCAAGCATTAGCCCAGTATTGACAAGTCCACCACCAAACCATAACCCTAAGTGCCATATCAACGTGTCTTTTAAATTCCTCCAGGGGTGATGACTCTACCACTTCTCCAGGCAGCCTGTTTCAATGCTACACTGCTCTTTCAGTGAAGAAATTTTTTCTAATATCCAGTCTAAATCTCTCCTTGTGCAACTTGAGGCCATTTCTTCTTTTCTTGCCACTTTTTACTCAGGAGAAGTACCATAGTAAGCTACTTTGCTGCAGCCTCCTTTCAGGCAGGTGTAGAAAATGGCAAGTTCTCCCCTGAGCCTCCTTTTTTTAATGCTAAACACTCCCAGCTCCCTCAGCCACTCCTTTTACCAGCTCTGCTGCCTCCTCTGGACCCACTACAACACATCAATGTCTTTCCTGTAGTGAGAGACCCAAAACTGGACACAGGATTTGAGATGTGACCTCACCAGTGCTGAGTACAGGGTGACAGTCATTGCCCTGATATTCCTGGTCACCAAGTAATTGATACAGGCCAGGATGCCACTGGCTTTCTTGGCCACCTGGGCACACACTGACTCATGTTCAGCTGACTGCTGACTAGGACCCTCAGGACCTTTACTAGGTGGTTTTCCAGACACTTCCCCCAGCTTGTAAGGCTGCCTGGGTTGCTGGAACCCAAGTGCAGTACTTGGCACTTGGTCTTGTTGAATCTCATCCAATTGATCTTGATCCATTGATCCAGCCTGTCCAGAGCCTAACTTGGTGTTGTCTGCAAAGTTACTGAAGGTGCACCCCTCATAGAGGTCATTGATAAAGACATTAAACAGAACTAGCCCCAAAACTGAGCCCTGGAGAACCCCACTTGTAAGCAGCCACCAGTTGGATGTAACTCTATTCACCACCACTCTCTGGGCCCAGCAACCCTGCTAATTTGATGATGTAGCTGAAACTTTAAAATGGTATGTGAATCCCAAGCTCCTATGTGACCACCTTAACAACAGGACTTGACTTGTCTTTGTGGAATAGTGATTGGAGACATGACATAACCTAATTTAATCAATCCAATTACTTAGATGGCTTTAGTACCGTTATTGCTCAGATAATAAAAGGCATAGAGGACAAATGTTACTGTGTGTGTGCACCCACATGCAGTCCAGAAATCACATTTGACCCTCCCAAAATCTCTGTGAAAAACTTTCAGATGTTGTGTGGCTCTCATTTTACAAACTTCTTGGAACAGGAAAGAAAGTGAACTGACTGAAGACATCTTGCTACCTGACAGCTTGACTTTGTAAAGTCAGCAACCAATAGCACAGAAAACTCCCTCAGACAAAACTATGTTAAAATGTGCAGTAAAAAATGACGGGTTTTTTTTCCTTTAAGGGCAGTATTTTCTGATGTAGAAAGTAATTTAAAACTGTAAGCCAAATTAAGCAAATGCATCTTACCTATATTTTTGCATGCACATGATGAGCAGCTGCCACCTCCTGAAAAACACAAAGTTGTTTTCTGTTTAAAATTCAAGAAGAATGATGCAGGAAAAGAGGGTTAACCATAAAATGTTAAGATGCTGAAGCTATTTTATAATTTGTATGATTATCCTATCTGATACTTTCTGTGCTACACTCTAAAGTCATATGATATGATAAAAGAATGAAATATAAAAATCAAAGTAGAAAGAAAATGCTCAGGACAAGAATCTATAAACACCTTTGCAAAGTAACACGTGTACTTTGGAAACAGAACTGACATGAAAGTAAAGCTCTTTCACCAAGATACTGAGGAAATCTGCCTGAAATAAAAAAAACATATTTTTGATCTCTCATGAGTCCTGATTTTGCAATAATCCAGCATTATACTTTTCCCAGACCAAAGTACTCATTTCCATCAATGTTCTGCTTCCCCCACTGCTTGACACAGCAAAACAAAACATCTTATAATTATCTGGATCATGTTCCAAAACATACATCAAGAAAATATTCAAGCAATGTGTATGGTTTTGTTCCTTTTTCCAATAGCAACCTTTCTCTTATTGTGATCTTCATTACAGAACACAGACACATTTTTAATAATTATTCTGGTTTTGTTTTTTAAGCCACTGCCTCCATCACTACACACCATGGCAACACTTTGGAATGATTTGTATGTCAGTACTGGCAACATAGCAGAGTCTGATAGTTTTCATTTGTAATTTTCCTTTTTGCAGTGCCCTAAAATTATATGTTCAGACAGATAAACAGAAAAAACTTCTATCTGCTGTTCATGTTTTCTGGTAGCCTGAGTAAGTTCTTCAGATGCTTCTTAGAATGAAATATATCTACATCAGGATTTTATGACACTAAGGAAATACAGGGCAAATACTTAAAGACTTTGATGCAGTATCCTATTCTTGTTACATCTGCATGGTAGTCTAGATAGATCCCCACGGAGCAGACCCCCCAGCTGTGCCAGGTATTGCACTGATTGCATAGTATAAATAGTCCTTTTTTCCCAAGGCACCTTTATCTTTGACATTTAGCCCGTAAATGCCCAGGAGTATAGGATCATTCTCTTTTGGGTACCTTTGTATGATCTCATCTCTTTCAGTCTTTTAGTGCTCATGCTTTTTTCCTTTTTGAATTCTTGCTCCTCAGTTACTGCCATTGGCAAGGGCACTGAAATGGATGATACTCATTTAAGATACCTTTAGTGTGACACAGAAGCTAATGGACTTCTAGAAGACACTTTGCGATGCTCAGTTAGAGAGCCGTAAAAACTGCTGTCCCTTCTTGACTGATTTACCATTTCCCTAGTCATCAAATTCTTCCTGGTTTACTGTGCACAGTCAGCACCCTTATCTAATTCTGTAACAGTTCTAATATCTGTACTTCTCTCAGGACTGTCACTTAAGTATATGACAACAGACAAGTTATTTAGCACTTTGTACCACTGGTGTGAAGCTAAGACACAGAGCAAGCACACAGCTTGGCAAGCCACAGTGAAAAAGAGCTCTAAAACCACTGAAGACACAGACAGAAAGTGCAAGCCCTTAAAATTTTATATAGTCTGAAAAGATGAAAGCAAAGGTCAAATAAAGAAATAATTCTTGATGACTTATATATTGCATGAAGAAAGAAAACAGTTGCTATGAGAACAGGATTTGAGATAAAGATCATTTTAAATGCTCTGTAATTTGACATCCTGTAGTTCAGTACATACCAACACATACCTCTAAAATTAGGCCAAACACCCAACAAATAATTTAAGGAAGAAAAAAACAAACCTGCAGCAGAAGTTAGGGAGTATAATGAATGTATAAACTTATGATACTTCTGAGAAGCACCTACCTGGAGTTGAAACCTCTACATTTTTATTGCTCATCTGAGAGTAAAGGTAGATGCTGACTCTGTCAGGGCAGCTACAGAGCCAAGTGCTGTGATGTCCCAGAAGAGCCTGGGACAACCCTACTCTGAGCACTAAAGTAACAACTGCAGATCTGATTTCTCTGTTTTTCTCTGGGAATAGTTTAATTTCACTGTTAGCTAATGAAATTGCCCTTTTCAACCATATGGGTTAAAATGTTTGTCAGAGATCATGGTTTTAATCCTTATTTTTAATGAAAAAGGGCAGAGAGAGGTCATTAAGCATTTAGTTCATGTGACCTTGGGGCAAGCTGAAAGATTGTTTTGTATTCTCTTCAACCCAGAAGCCTAAAATGACTATTTTCAAGGAACATTTAGTAAAGTATTTCTCTGAATGAGCATTTTGGTAAATGTGATACAATTAGTATTCTTCTGAAACAAGTGGCCATAGAGAAGAGTGTGCTTAGCATAGGATAAAGGCAGCACATTTTAGAATCAGATTAACACACAAATTAGATTAAAATACAAAATTTTCTACACGGATGACCAACAATGTGTAGAGCTGATATAAATTTCAAACTCACTAGCTATACTGATCAGTTCCTGATTTGAATGCACTTGTGAATACTAAGAAATTGCTCACTTCTCCTCCCTGTGCCTGACTGCTGATCTTCTGTCCCCATTTGTACCCATTCATTCCTAGGTAATCATATGGACCTGCAGCACTCTGTTGTTAATGGCTGGACACAACTGGATGTTTCTTGCCAGGCTCCAGTAAGAATGAATGTACATCTAGTAGGGTGTTAGATAGGAACCTGGGGTTTAAACATTCAGTAATATTGAGAGATTCCCTGACTAATTCTCCCTAATTCTACCTCAAAAATATGTGAATAGAAGTCTACATTATGGTAATGTTGAAATTGAACAGAAGAATTTCACTGGTTCAGCAGTAAAAATGCTTCGTTTTGGCTGTAAGATTTCTTTTTGTTATTTTTCATATAAAAATATTATTTGATTGCGTATAAAGTTTTGAGAAAAGAGGAGACAAATCTTTCATTTGTTTCCTAGCAGTTTCACAATGTGGAGTTGCAAGAAGTTGTTCCTGGTTCACCCGATGTGAAGCAGAGTGCCAAGACAAATATTGTGGTTTAGATATAAGTCAAATATATTAACATGTGTATGAAAGTTACATCTTGTTATGTTAAGCTCTGAAGGAGAGCTTGAGTGTGTGTACATTTGTGATAAGTGTATTTACAGTCATGTACATTTCCACCTCAATTTCATCTTTAGTGCAGAAGAAAAACCTTTTGGCAGAAGTTTGGGAATTTCTATGGTAGTGTGCTTGGATACTGAGGCCAATGGAAAGTGTGTTGTTTTCATTTGAATAGGATTGCAATTTTGAGCTTTCTAATTATTCCTTGTCAGACCCAGCACTATTTGAAAACACCACCAATCCATTACACATTTTGGTCCTAACAGAAGTTTAAAAACCGCTTTCAATCACTTTTAAAGCTTGGGGTTTAGGCCAGGAGAATAGAACAATGTTACTTTGTTTTCTTGCTGTTTGTATGATCTGTCCCAGCTCTCAGAAAACTAACTAGCTGATAAAAAGAACAAGCATAATTTCACTTGTGTGTGTTTGCGTCTGAAGATGAGCAAGGAAATCGTAGACCCTGCCTTTAAAAAAACACATTTGCTTTGTTCATACTAAATACATAATGAAACAGCACATAGTTTTAAAGTTGCTATAGTTTTGAACTTCCAATGCACTCTGAAAGATGACATTGTCAATTTAGTGTCAGTAGTTGTATGCCTAAACTAATATGTTTCTATCTTTCAAGATCCAGGATTAAGTGAGGAAGGAGTGCTTGTGAGCAAAGCAGTAATGGCCTGATTTATTATAGAAAGGCCATCTTTAATCTGAATTATTTCTATGGTATAACTTACGTTGAGAAATAGTGAAATTCATATAAAACATGCCATGGAAAGACCAGACAGCTGATAATATTTCAGAAGCCTCTCTAAAAAATTACCATGGTTTCCTGCTGTATTGACAATAGGAGATACATAGGTGAAGAGTGATAATGCTTTGCAAATGTTGGTGTGCCAAAGTTCATGTGCAGTTCTTCATAACAAGGGCCTAAAGTGCTATGGAATTCTACCTCCAGCTCTGTACTCAAAAATCCCATTGTCTGTGTTTCTCTGTGGGTAACAGAGAAGCTCCCTGCTCTTATGAACAATTTCTTTATCACAATTGGGTTATCAATTCATAATGCACATATGTACACATATATATCACCTCCTGTGACCTATTTACATCCAGAGGTCACAAATTATGCTGAGAACACTTTAAGACAAAAAACACGAGAGATACCATTTTTTCTTACATGCAATCTCTTTCGCTTGTAATCTCCTTTGTCTAGTCCCCTGCCCAAATCCTATCCTCCATATTTGAAGGAAGGGAGAAATGCTGGTATCAGACAGAACAATTATTTGCACCCTTAAAATCACAGTTTATTTCTTCCCACTAGGAAGGGCTTTCTAGATATCTTCAGTCATGTGTAAACACATGCGGGTCAGGTATTCATGCTAAATTGACTAGGTGAGAAGTAACCAAACTGAATGTATTTTTTGTTAGTAGATTTAGGAGCAACTTTCCAAGGAGAACTTCCTTTAGAGACACCAATTCAAATTACTCTTTTTTGTGATTTCCCCCATCTTTTCATTCTACCTGAAAACTCAGCCTGCTATCCATGTATTAGTTAGCCTTCAAAAATGTATCTGCATTACCTAAAGAGCTGAAAATTAGTTTTTATTTATAAGATAGCTGAAGTTCTTCCTGAAACCTCAGGAGTGCTTAAATTCTATCTCTTTTCACTAGAATTTCAGAAATAAATATTTAATAGCCCTTGGCATGACCATCAAAGGAACGTATTTAGATGGTGTTTAATAATGGTGCACACTAAATATGATGTATCATACCAATCCTTCGACAGAATATGAATGGGAAAAAAGACTCTTCTTAGTCTTTTATTATCTTTATTTCCATGCTGACCCATTAATATGTGTGTTTCAGAGAGGTTACAGGTAAAGCTGTGATATTTTGCTTTGCACAGCTGGGATAAAACACTGAATCTTGTTAAATGCTACATCCATGTTTAAGGCTGGACTGAGGTTGGTGCTGTCACTGCGCACATTTTCAAACACAGTATAGGAATTCCATGCTTCCTTTTAAATCTGTGTTTCAAGCCTGTACCGAAAGGATCTCATCTACTCTTCCATGTCATTTACATTTTTCATTGTATAAAAATTCTCTGCCCAAAAGAGAGCAGGTTTAATATTAATAATTTGGTTTCTCTTTATTATTCACTGTCATGCTGCTATGAGATCTTATATCCATCAAGGGAAGCTGGCTGGAGCACTACAATCTCAACAAGTAAAGGGTAATACTGAGTGGATGAGCTAAAGAACATAAACAATGAGAACTTCTACTTTTTCGTTTCAGAGCAAACATTCTATGTTGGCAGGAATTGTCTTCCCTCCAACTCTAGTGATATTGAAGTTGAGAGCAGTCTTTTTGCAGCCAGTACCCTCCATTACCTCTATTCCTCCAACCCCTTGTCATCATGCCTCACCTACTGTCTCCCATCATTGGCTAAGTTAAATTCTATAGAGAGACACCTACTGCAAGGAGAAGAATCCAAAATGTTACTCACCATACAGTGCTTCAAACTGAAAGCAGAGGACACAGAAAGTTACAGCAACTGCCTTCATGCCTGCCTGACCCAGAGGCATCAGACTTCTGTCTACTGTGAAGACGGGGAAGAGCGCATGGGTAGAAAAGGAAGTGGTTTGTGGGCTCTGGGGAAGACTGCAAGATAATCAGAATGACTTTTTAATTTAACATTTGTCTCCTGACTACATTATAACTATGTCAGCATTACCTGTTGCACATACTTGGTTTAATGCTTTATTTTTTTTTTTCCTACTTAATTGCTGTCACAGACAGGAGGATGAGAGACTTTCTGACATTAGTTTTGATGTTCACTTTGCAAGGACTGGTTTCTGATAAAGTCTATCACAATAGAAACTGCAGTCATCTACAGTAGACTTCTGCAGATGGCCCAACTAGTATTACCTTATAGTACATACATATTTGTAACTGGCAAACCTGGTTTCTCCCCACCAGTTTCAACTGGTTTTACATAACTAATGGTCCTGCTCTATGTGGAAACCACTAGTTAGTGGGGTAGGAGTCTCTCGTGTGTCCTGGTTGTGAAAATCATGGGAAGAACATGGCCAAATTGCAGAAAGATCCCTTCAGCCCTGTGATTTCTGAAAGCTTCACTGCAGCATGACTTCCATTGTGGAGATCAGGCTTGTTTTGCCTGAAGTTTCATGAGAAATTTCGTGTGGCTGTGGCTCTGTGAGAGGAGATCTGACTCAGTGCCCTAGGGCCTTAGGTCAAAAGGTTCTCTCCTGCCCTCTTCCTTTGTGCAGCACATTCTATCCTGGCCTGTTATACATCTTTATCCTGGGAATGTTTTAGGACCCTTTGTAACATGTTTTACAATCATTTAATCTTGACTGCTTATTTATGTCTATAATACAAATTTTAGTGCAGAAAATAGGCAAGAAAACCAGTTTCTAAATCATGTGTAATATATTAGATGAATGAATTTAGCATTTTTGATTGCATGAAGAGAAAAAACACAAAGGAGTGCTAGTGGTGCCTGACAGACACTGCTGGGGTTGAATTCTTGTAATGGTCAAATAATTGGAAAATAACGGGACTGTGTTACAGATTCACTGCTACTTTATACAGTGTATGTAAATCCTCATATTTTGGTTTACTCTTCTTCAACAGGTGATTTAATGTCTCTCATTATTACTGCTAAAAATCTGTTCACATGGACATTGGCAGAGTTTTAGTTTCTTCAAATATTTCCAAAGCCCTGCAAATCTATGCCTTTTAAAAAATTACAGCCAGAAGTAAAACTGAGTCAAATCAAATGTTGATCTAAATTTTCAGCTCAAGTCTCTGGGGCCAAAATTAAGTAACTCCAAGTAGAGAAAATTTCTGCAGTATGCTTTTAGTTCTAAATCCCAAAAACATATGGAGGTTCAAACAATGATACACCTACAAAACATACATCTGACTCCTCAGATTCGCCTATGAAGTAATAAACTATGTTGGGATGTACTGAGGTTCCAGGTAGGATCATCATTTTCATCCCCTATGAAAGCTAATGGGAAGTGCTGAAAGAACAGACCAACACTCTCATGGGACATGACATTCACTGGCCCCCAAATAAATTTAAGAGTGGCCCCCAGAAAGGCCTGTAGTAAAAAGAGCTGCTGCTGCAGAGAATTAAGGGTGGAAGAGAATCATCTGTCAAGTACCCTTATGCACATCCTTGGGAGAGCATGGTGACAACACACAGCAGAGATTGAGTCCTATAAAGCCTATCACTGACTGGGAAGGCCAATAAAGGTGTTGGGGAATGTAGTACATGTGCAAAGTTTTGGCTACTTTTTTTATGAAAACAAGCTTAAAAACAATCAGTATTGTTATGGTTTCAAAATTCGCTGTCTTTCTTAAAAATGTAAACATTTTGTTAGCAAAGTAATTTTGTTAGAGAGAATTTTTTTTTTTTAACCAATATATTTATTTTGGAGCAACTTACTCCTCTCCTCCCTCCCAATGACCATATCAGTTACACCAAGACAGAGATGATTAAGACACATCTATTTCACTTTTGGGGGAAGAATAGCTAGGAATATAGCTTGGCTGGTGTTCATCTCACTACAACAATCGAAGAAAGTCTCACTATCCAGTTTGTATGTGTCAAGTCCTCTCTCTTTACGATAATTATAGCTTCAAGTCTACAATTACAACTTCTCCTTTTCTGCTTCTTGGCACTTGGGATGGCTGTAACACACTACCCCTTTATTTCCAAGGGGTCAAGCCAGAGAATACTTTGCAGTACATTTGGCAGCACTCTGAAGCTTGATCTAAACAGTGATTCCAAGGGTATTTGTTGATGAGCCAGCAGAGCCGGGGCACTCACAGCATATATTCACAAGCAAAGAGACTCAAAGTCAAGCTCTGCACTGTGTGAGGGATGCTCTCCTTCTACTCCCACACTGACAGAGACTCCTCCTCTGCCTTTCAATCTTTCCATCTTTGCCTCTCTCCCCTGTCAGCCCTTACCTACTTCACAAAGACATTGTTACTGCAATTTTGAAGTGTTTCTTCTAAATACCACAGTTGGTTACAGTTAAACACCTGGAACAAGTAGTCTGTTTCCACAGGCTTCCTACAAGTGTAACTATTTTTGCTCACAAACACGTGTTTCCTTTTTCCATCTTCACTCATTTCTCTTCTCTGTGTCTTGATTTTCACTCTCCCATCTACCTATGCCTCTCAGAGCTGACTTCTTTCCTCCTCCAACCTGACTCTCCCCCAGTCCCTGAATACCCTGCTCCTCAAGCAGTATTTTCCCTTCACCATGTGCAGTAACTCCTGCCTGGGATGTAGCTTTTCCTTCACCCCATGCCCTATTCTTTCTTTATGTCCTACTCCTAATGCTACCCTATAGTGATAATCTCCTTTGCTTCCCATCATCTTGCTTCTGACTGTTTGCAAACTGGAAAATCCTTACGTGACTTTTTGTGCCTTTAAAAATGCATTCAGTGATACACTGAGTTCCATAGAGAAATGGGCTTGTTCATCCCTTGGTCCATACACCAGTGCACTCTACTACACAGTCTTCAGTGCTTCTCCCCTCTAACTCAAAGTAACTTGGAAACCAACACTTCTGCAGTTTTCCCAAGGACACAGCAAAGAATTACCCTGTGTGTATGATGTATATTTTTCTTTGCTCTGTTTAATCACATAATTACTGTTATCACTCAAAACAATGTCCATGTTGGCAAGATGATATTGCATGGTCCACTGTGAAACCAAGGTGCAGTGAAGAATTTTATTCCATTTCACTAGCAGTTTTCCACTTCTGCTCATGCATGAGCAGTTGCCTACAGCAATATTCTCTCCACGGAATGTTTTGTAATTCTTTCTGTAGAGACTGCTACAGTCTATCCACACAAATTATATTCCATTGTCTCCTGCTGTTTCCCATTCTTTGCTTCAATATCTGGCCTATATTCTCATGACTCTGGGTCATTCCCTCAGGGCTGAAGCAGAAAGCCTCTACACTCATGGTTTTTCATTTCCTGTCCTCCTAATTGAGAAGGGGAACAATGACTTCCACTGTTCTATTTTTAAAGTTCTGTGATGGCTTTAAATCCCCCTTCCCATCTGCACCACTCCACATTAGGTGTGTAAACAAGCTGCAGTCATTCAGGATGTAGAGATTTCAGCCGAAACACAGCTCATGTGCTCCCTCATTTGTTCTGATGCCTCCTTTGCTGATATATTGGTCTGCTTGCTCCCCCAGGCCTGTGGGCATGCTGTAATATTTTCTCCATCAGTGTGTCAGTAGAGGCAACTGGGGCTCAGCTCAGCTAGCTCACCAGGCAGGCAAACACCTCCCTGCAGAGCAGATCTAATGAGACAGTCCTCTTCGGGGTGGGATTGTGTGTGGTTTGCTTCTTGATACAAGCTCAGTTGCCACATTAATCACTTATTTTTAGGGTTTGGCTTTTTTTCCTTCAGGATGTGGAGTGTAAATAGAAAGGGCCCAGCGTTGCTCATTTGCATGTACTGGTGGTGTGGACTGCAGACCCACAGGGTGGCTGGGGAAGGTTTACTGTCTTCAACAACAACAAAGGTAATGACCATGCTCCTGCCCTTCGAGGTGTACTAGGAAGAGGGCTGTGAGCAGCAGGTACTTTTCACTGGCATATGCCAGAGTGTGCAGGAGGGCTTTAGGAAAATACAAGATTTGTAGATGGTCTATGTTCATGAGCAGTGTTCCAGAAGGAGGAGTGTATCTTCTGAAGCCATTGCAATTCCCTATGGCCAACATGCAGCTGAGTATATGGATATTCTCAGTTCAGTCAGAGAGAAAAGGTGAGAGATTTCTACCAGGTTAAGCCTGGGAAAGAGTCTGAAAGGAATGTAAACAATTATTATCTCTCTCTCTGTTTATATTGTTTATAGATATGTTCTGCTACACTGACCTAAGTCCAAGTGTACCAATCATGTGAAATGCTTTTACTCTAAGACCAATCTTAGCGATCCTGGTTATAAAAGAGGAACGCTACTTGTTAATAAAGTTATTTTCTTTGCCTTCTGAACTGGAGTTCTTTCGTTCCTGTCCTGCCTCAACAGCGACATGAGTGGGATTTTTTTACAGGGCCCCTTATATCTAGGTTTGGACAGGAAGTCTTTCAGAACAGATGGCAAACATGTAAAACCCAAGCAAAGTGCAAAACAGAAGACCATGACTGTAAGTGCCTGGCACTAGGGGGAGCAGTGCATGACAGATACATGGATGTGCTGGGTGATAATGGAAGTTTTTCTAGGTGTGACAGTGACAAATTGTACACATTTTGTAAAATTTTCACACCCGAAGTCTTTCAAAGCTTGCAGTAGGGTGGGCACTTCTATTATGTGGTTATCTGGTCAGCTGCTTTTGAGGAGTTAGGATGAAAAGAGCTGTATTCTGTGGTGATGCTTGGGGTTTGTGGTGTGGTTTTGATCTCAGTATTGTTGTGATTACTTTTTAAAGGTAAACTCATGCTACCACTGCCTTGACAGTGTAACAAAGAGAAACTTTCTACAACAGAAACAGTCACCAAAGTTGTGATCCGTTCTTGTAGTAACAGATAAATTAAAATTTATGCTGAAAATTTCAAGGACAAGTGAAGCAGCCTAAGTCTTGGG